TCCAAGATGCTGGTGTTTACAGAACATTTGGTCGTGTCTGATTAGGATATTAAGGGCCTGTCTCCAAGAGGCTGGTGTTTACAGAACATTTGGTCATGTCTGATTAGGATATTAAGGGCCTGTCTCCAAGAAGCTGGTGTTTACAGAACATTTGGTAGTGTCTGATTAGGATATTAAGGGCCTGTCTCCAAGATGCTGGTGTTTACAGAACATTTGGTCATGTCTGATTAGGATATTAAGGGCCTGTCTCCAAGAGGCTGGTGTTTACAGAACATTTGGTCATGTCTGATTAGGATATTAAGGGCCTGTCTCCAAGAGGCTGGCGTTTACAGAACATTTGGTCGTGTCTGATTAGGATATTAAGGGCCTGTCTCCAAGAGGCTGGCGTTTACAGAACATTTGGTCGTGTCTGATTAGGATATTAAGGGCCTGTCTCCAAGAGGCTGGTGTTTACAGAACATTTGGTCATGTCTGATTAGGATATTAAGGGCCTGTCTCCAAGAGGCTGGCGTTTACAGAACATTTGGTTGTGTCTGATTAGTATATTAAGGGCCTGTCTCCAAGAGGCTGGTGTTTACAGAACATTTGGTCATGTCTGATTAGGATATTAAGGGCCTGTCTCCAAGATGCTGGTGTTTACAGAACATTTGGTTGTGTCTGATTAGTATATTAAGGGCCTGTCTCCAAGATGCTGGTGTTTACAGAACATTTGGTCGTGTCTGATTAGGATATTAAGGGCCTGTCTCCAAGAGGATGGTGTTTACAGAACATTTGGTCATGTCTGATTAGGATATTAAGGGCCTGTCTCCAAGATGCTGGTGTTTACAGAACATTAAGGGCCTGTCTCCAAGATGCTGGTGTTTACAGAACATTTGGTCGTGTCTGAGTAGGATATTAAGGGCCTGTCTCCAAGAGGCTGGTGTTTACAGAACATTTGGTCATGTCTGATTAGGATATTAAGGGCCTGTCTCCAAGAGGCTGGCGTTTACAGAACATTTGGTTGTGTCTGATTAGTATATTAAGGGCCTATCTCCAAGAGGCTGGTGTTTACAGAACATTTGGTCATGTCTGATTAGGATATTAAGGGCCTGTCTCCAAGAAGCTGGTGTTTACAGAACATTTGGTTGTGTCTGATTAGTATATTAAGGGCCTGTCTCCAAGATGCTGGTGTTTACAGAACATTTGGTCGTGTCTGATTAGGATATTATGGGCCTGTCTCCAAGAGGCTGGTGTTTACAGAACATTTGGTCATGTTTGATTAGGATATTAAGGGCCTGTCTCCAAGATGCTGGTGTTTACAGAACATTAAGGGCCTGTCTCCAAGATACTGGTGTTTACAGAACATTTGGTCGTGTCTGATTAGGATATTAAGGGCCTGTCTCCAAGAGGCTGGTGTTTACAGAACATTTGGTCGTGTCTGATTAGGATATTAAGGGCCTGTCTCCAAGATGCTGGTGTTTACATGTCTGATTAGGATATTAAGGGCCTGTCTCCAAGATGTTCTCTGCTCCTGTGCTGGTTGGTGTCTCCCTGTTGCAACTTGTAATAAACCGGATTGATTTATGATTGACTTTATCTGAAACTGCTCTTCTCTTCTGTTCACCTGGATATTCCAATTAAAAGCTGCACCTTCAGCGCTAACGCGCCTGTGTGTGTGTGTGTGTGTGTTTCCTCTCTCCCTTGGCTGTGGTTGGATAGAAAGTCCATCACTCTCACTTTGTGTCAGAGTGGAAGCCGAGTCCTGACCTGTCCATGCTGGCCCGGCCTCTTATGGAGATGGCTCAAATACTGGAGAAGAGAGAAGGAACCGGGGACATACAGGTGTGTGTGTGTGTGTGGTGTGTGTGTGTGCGCAGGACAGGTGTGTGTGCGTGCTAATCTCCTGTCTTTCTGTTAGGTGCTGGAGTTGGATGCTGCCATGTATGAGAAGATGACGTCACACAGTGAGAGTGATGGTCGGCCTACATCCCCTCTTCTTCGTTCATCCATCTGTTTATTACCAGTCTGCCTCACTCACTCTATCCTCCCCTCTTCCCCCTCCCACCTTCCCTCTGTCTTCATCTCCTTCATCTCTCCCTCTCCCCCCTCTCTCTCTCCCTCTCCCCCCCTTCTCTCCCTCTCCCCCCCTTCTCCCCTCCCTCTCCCCCCTCTCTCTCCCTCTCCCCCCTCCTCTCCCTCCCCCTCTCTCTCCCTCTCTCCCCCCCCCCCTCCCCTCTCCCCTCTCCCCCCCTCCTCCCCCCCTCTCTCCTCTCCCCCTCCCTCCTCCCCCCCCTTCTCTCCCTCTCCCCCCTCTCCCCCCTCTCCCCCCCCTCTCTCCCCCCCCTTCCCCTCCCCCCCCCCTTCCCCTCTCCCCCCCTCTCTCCCCCCCCCCCTCTCCCCTCCCCTCTCCCCGGCCCCCCCCTCCCCCCCCTTTTTCCTCTCCCTCTCCCCTCCTCCCCTCCCCCCCGCCCCTCTCCCCCCCCCCCTCCCTTTTCCCCCCCCCCCCTCTCTCCCCCCCCCTTCCCCCCCCTCTCTCCTCCCCCCCCTTCTCTCCCTCCTCCCCCCCTCTCTCCCCCCCCCCCTCCCCCTCCCCCCCCTCTCCCCCTCTCCCGGCCCCCCCCTCTCCCCCTCTCCCCCTCTCCCCTCCCCCCCCTCTCCCTCTCCCCCCCCTTCCCCCCCTCTCCCTCTCCCCCCTCTCGCCCCCCCCCTCCTCTCCCTCTCCTCCTCATCCCCCCCCCCCCTCTCTCCTCTCCCCCTCCCCCCTCTCTCTCCCTCTCCCCCCCCCCCCCTCTCTCCCGTCTCTCCCCCCTCTCCTCTCCCTCTCCCCCCCCTCCTCTCCCCCTCTCCCCTCTCTCTCCCTCTCCCCCCCCCGTCCCCTCCTCTCCCCTCCCCTCTCACCCCCCCCCGCCCCCCCCCTTCTCTCCCTCTCCCCCCCCCCCCCCCCTTCCTCCCTCTCCGCCTCTTCTATCATCTATCTATTTTACCTCCTCCAGCTCTCATCCTCTTGCATGCCATCAGGACTGAGCGGGAGCAGAGATATCTCCAGAGCCAATCAGAGAAGCCATCAGTCCAGTCGGAGTATCTCACCATCCAATCACAGAGAACCACTATATCACCTCGGAGGCTCTATGTCCAACCTGAGAAGCCTGTAGTCCAGATTGATAACCGAACCGTCCTATGGAAGAGTCCGACTGCCCAGAGTCGGAACTCATCTGGCCAATCAGAGAAGTCCCCTATGTTGCGGCGGAGTGTCTCTGTCCAATCACAACTCAGCTTGGGGGAGGAGGCGGGGTTTCTCCATGAAACCAAGTCCCTGATTGGTGAGTGTATGTGTGCCTCATAGGATGATACGCCAACTTTGCTATGGTGGTTAAAGTCTGGTTTGGGCACCACCGTGTGGGAAATACCTATTTGACAGTTGGCTAAATTCATTTTTTTATGTTACTTACTTCTATTTCTGAATCATCCCCTGCTACACATTTCTACTCAGGTTGCTGTTGTTTGTGGGTGTGGGTCCTTTAGAAGAGAACTGGCCATTACATTTCTCATCTGTTAATCTCACGCTCTACTGCCATTTATCATTCTTCTCTGTGAGTGTCCTCTCTCTTTCGCTCCCTCTCCCACTTTGTCGCGTTCCCTCTCTCTTTGTCCCCTCCTCTCTTTCTCTCTCTCTCCTCTCTCACTAAAGGTGCTTCACTAAAGCGTCCTGCGTCAACATTACCATGGCAGCATGACCCCTCTCTTTCCCCGACCCCTGATTATGTCACAGATGGAGGTCAGACGTTACTGGGTGGTTCTGAGGGGGCGGGACTACAGGGGGTTCCTGCGAAGCTGATTTGCTGTGAGCCGGTGTTCAAGGTGATTCTGTCTATGACTGACGGCCCCCTGCTGCTGGAGAGGAACTCATTCAGCCTGGAAACCTCCCCCTCACACTCCTCACCCCTTCACTCCCCCACCATAGATGCCTCACCCCAGCCCCATCCCACACCCTCGCATTCGCTTGGTCAGCTGGGAAACACAGTCGCAGTAAGATTCGGAAACACACACACCGTTGAATACATACACACCGCGGGATACACACACACTACGACTGCTGCGAGACTGGACCCAGCCATACCTGATCAGCAGCTAACTACGAGAGACGAGGACACACACACTGACGGTCTGTCTCTGGGAGAAGAACAGAGGTTCACTGACCATGGTCTGTACCCCAGCAGAGAGGACACACACACTGACGGTCTGTCTCTGGGAGAAGAACAGAGGTTCGCTGACCATGGTCTGTACCCCAGCAGAGAGGACACACACACTGACGGTCTGTCTCTGGGAGAAGAACAGAGGTTCGCTGACCATGGTCTGTACCCCAGCAGAGAGGACACACACACTGACGGTCTGTCTCTGGGAGAAGAACAGAGGTTCGCTGACCATGGTCTGTACCCCGGCAGAGAGGAAAACACAACTGACGGTCTGTACTTGGTCAGAAAGGAAAACAGTACTTTCCGTCTCTACTCGGTCAAAGAACAAAACACAACTGCCATGGTGCACCTGAGGAGAGAGCAGGACAGAACTGACCGTCTGTATTCAGAGAATGAACGACTCACTGACACCAAGTTCTGTGTCCGAGCGGGGCAGGACAACAGACCGGGCACTACTGACTCTGGTCTAGCCTGTGCCAGAGACATCATGATCACCGACACAGCATCTGTTGCCGAACCGAGTCTCTTCACTACTGGCAGTCTCTCCATCTGCAAGGAAGAGGAGGAGTGCTTGACCAACACTCCTCTAATGGACGAAAAACAGGAGGAGGAGAGGAGGAATGTCTGTCGTTCTGCTGGGGGACAGAGGCTTGCAGAGGATGACAGGACAACTGACAGTGGGTATTCCACAGGAACCAGGTCTACTGACAGAATGTACCATACAAGAGAAAGATCAACTGACAGAATGTACCAAACAACAGAAGCGACAACTGACCGTGGGTGTGCTACAGGGCAGAGGACAACTGACCGTCTGTATGCTACAGGAGAGGGGCTAACTGACTGTCAGTTGATGGAGGAAGAGGAGCAGTGCAGAGCTGAAATTCAGAAAGGAGTTGGAGGGGGAGAAATGGGGGTCATGGTGGAGGGGGAGAAATGGGGAGGAAAGCAGAGAGAGAGGGAGGGAAACTCTGGCTTTCACCATCAACAGTATTTGCAAGGCCAGCCTCCACAACGGCACCAGGCGCAGGGGTTTACAGGAGCTCAGGTTGACACAGCAGCTCTCAGACATGACATAGCCCTTCATAGGGATCAGGCAGGGCCAGTCCTTCACAGAGGAGACATGAGCAGTCGTATGTGTGACATAGAACCCATGCAGGAGGTGCAGTTGTGTGAGGCAGAGTTCAGAGGAGCATGGACCTACAGAGGCACACAGCTGACCCTTGACACCTATAGAACAGGTCCGGAGGGGTACGAGACACACCCTGGTCCTTACCCAGAGGGCCACAGAATGAACTGTGACCCCTACCAAGTTGTCTCTGATGGGATCAGAAGCAACCCTGGCCCACACCGCCTTCACTCTAACCCTAGCGGGTTCAAACCCCAGCCCCTCCCGTACCCTCGCCATCAACTCACCCAGGAGATTGCACCCCATCCTTACCTTGATCCCTTCCCCAGGATCATGGGGGGCGTGCAGCCACAGGAGCTCCCCAGCCCCCCATGTGTGGTGGTGTCTAGCTCTAGACCCTGCCACCCTCATCCTTTCTCTCCAGGTCATGGAGAGCTCCTGTCCCCCCGACACGGCTCAGTCATCCTCCCCAGCCCTCCCTGTCAAAGAGTAGGTTACTGGGTCCACATCCCTGCCTGGGGTCCCTGGGAAGCTCCAGGACCAGGACCTCCCTGGGTCTAACTACCACACACCATACAACCACCACGGATGATTATTCTAGTGGTGGTTTAGACACTGACTTTATGTTGTTTTAAATGGACAGGTGTTTTGTGTGTTTGTTTTATGCACTCTGGGTTCTATGTTTTTTTAATTCAACTGGTGGGAAGCTGTTTGGTTAAAACCGCATTCCAACCGGTGTCAATTCCACAAGATACCACCGCTAAATCTATGAAGTTAAATTGCCTAGTATTTACTCTGTTCCATCTGACTGCGCAATCCACTGTCTCATCAGCCCAGCCAGGCAATTTATAAACTTGATCTCCGCTATAAAAAGCATCTAGATCTTATCTCACATTTCTTTTAGACTAACATTTAGTGTTCAACAGCAGGGAGTTGTATAAACCTTGGTATCTGTCTCTCCGACATTTGCAACCTTGTTTCAATATTCAAATTCAATCTCCAGCTGTTGCATAGTAATGAATGTGTCCGGAGTCGGGATGAGACAGACAGACAGGTAGCTTTTCTCCGCCAGTCGAAATCATGAATCAACATCATTTTTATGGATATATACAAAGAAATATCAATAGAAAACAGGTAAAATGAAACTAAGTACAGCTAGTTTGCAGTCTTTCCAGCTTCAGTTTGAAGTGAATGTGTTAGCTGTGTTGTTGGCTAGTTTCTCTGAACAACAGTGTCCTGACGAGAGAGTACATTTTCTATGCCAGGTGAAATCGCGCATCATTAGCTCATTGTTATGGTGGTATTCAAATAAATGTCAGTAGAAAACAGCTTAAACAAATGCAAATGCAGCTACTTTGCTGTTATTCTGACTGCACTGTTTGACGTGACTGTAAATTAGCCGTAGTTGGCTAGCTAGCAGCAAGGGATAAGAACGTTGCCAGCCAGTATGGCAATAGAACATTTAGAATGAACGACTGGGTCGTGTCCATAGATACAGAACAAAAAGACTTAACGACTGGGTCGCGTCCATAGACACAGAACAAAAAGACTGAACGACTGGGTCGCGTCCATAGATACAGAACATAAAGGCTTAACGACTGGGTCGCGTCCATAGACACAGAACAAAAAGACTTAACGACTGGGACGTGTCTCTCTCTGGCAACCGAACCGATAGAACGAACGACCAGCCGGCTTGGGTAGCAACCTTACATTTGTGTCGGAACTATATCTCGTGGAAGGATGAAACAGTATGAATAAATTCATCATAAAAAATGTTTTTTATTAAAATATGTAAATAATTATTTGAATATGTTGGTAACCCATTGTATGAATGTGATAATGCCCTCGAAGCCGGTGTTTGGAGGATATATTGGCACGGTTTGCCGGCCTGAGACGAACAACACCCGTGCCAATATATCCTCCAAACACCGGCTTCTCTGGCATTATTGTTATGGGTGTATCTTAAGGTTTATTTTACACAATTAAGAGGGCTCAATTAGGGGTTCAACATTGACCTTTCCAGAAATGTCCAGAAGGAGTCGCTTTATCCGTTTGTGACCAGTGGAGGGAAGCAGAGCTGAATAAGTTGTTTAAATTGAGGTTCAGAGGCACAGCGGAGGACTTGTTACACAGTTTTAATAATAATAATCATAATAATATGCCATTTAGCAGACGCTTTTATCCAAAGCGACTTACAGTCATGGGTGCATACATTTTTACGTATGTTTTCACACTTGGCACACCTCAGGAAGTTGGGTTTAGTAGAGAGATCCTATTAAATTAGTATTCTAATTCCTAATTCAATGGGGTTTAGTTCATCAACGTGGCTCTGGCCAGTGTTAGGCTATCCTTTGACTTTGGTTCATACTAGTGGCTCACCAAAATTAAGTTGTGTTGTATACTTTAAATAATAATAATAATTTGACAAATGGAACCAAATCTGCTCAAGTTGAGCCATTTTCAATGGTTTCATTGTTCATAAAAATAAAAATAATTGTTTTAATGTGCAGCACTTATGACACGTTACTCAGAAAGTAGCATTGAACTGTGGCCCAGTGTCAATTTGTGGGCAGGATCAATCTTGAGGCATTACTTTTTCAGCGGGTCCAGAGAAAGACTGTATTATGGTTCATTGTGGCACAGCTGGAGTAAAGTAGTGTTTGTTATTCTTTTTCTATTTGTTTCCCCATTGAGATTCAGGCACCATTACCAAATATATTTCAAACTAACCTAAGGTAGTTCATCTGTGTCGTTGTCAATAGGAGCAAATGAAGCATAGTGGGCAGAAGAAGCAAGGAGGTTGGCAGAGACAAGCACGAGCTAGCGAGATTCTGTTGGCGCGTTCTAGTGTTTATTTGCATATGTTAGGGGACACCTCTCTCAAGTGTGTGTGTACAATAACTCAATTCGCCATTGCACTCCTTGTAAACAACGCAATTTTTTTTATAAACTTTGACAAAGGGTCACGTATACATAAACTTATTGCATTGTTCGTAACAGATTTGAGTTTTGGGAACATAAAACTGTATTGAGATCGGCCCTTTTCTGATAAAATCAGCAGAATGTCGGACGAGTTCCATCCCGCTCCATACGCTCCCACTGCCGGCCACTTGGCTTCCTCTCATCACCATATTTGGTGGGGAGTGGAAATTCCAACCGGATGCTTCAGATTTATACGTCCAGTGGAACATCTGGCTCCTTGTTCCATCTGTGCCGTTACTGCTGTATACAATTGCTTACCTTTGTGTTGCTGCTGTATATGAATACCTTATGGCCTTCAAAGTCAGTGACTTTTTCCCACATTTTGTTGTGTTACAGCCTGAATTAAAAATGTATTAAATTGAGATTTCACTGATCTATACGCTTGCACCGCCAGGGTTGTGGGTTCGTTTCCCACGGGGGGCCAGTATGAAAATGTATGTACTCACTAACTGTAAGTCGCTCTGGTTAAGAGCGTCTGCTAAAAATGTAAATGTGTTTTATAAAATGTATTCTGTTTAATAAAAAGCTGAAATGTCTTGAATCAATAAATATTCAACCCTTTTCAGAAAGTGAAAGCAGCTGTGGATATATTTCTTATGGGCAAAAATTAGCAAAATAATGACAAGCTTTCTGCTAGTACACAAAGAGAAAATCGTCGTTGTGCTGGCCAGTCCGTCACCTGTTGTGGAACCGAGCGAGGTTGTCCCTGCCTGTCCCCGCGCGGCGAGTCAAAGGTTGACTGGCGCCAATTTATAACGGCCCTGACGGAAAGGACGCAGCGAGTTATCCATATTTAATGTTATGAGAATTTGTTTCAGGATAATAAGTTCATTTTCTCTCTCTTTTTGGAAGGAGAAACCAGAGTATTCAAAATGAGCGTGTCTGTAGGTTAGTGATAATTAACTAGCTAGTGATATATATATATTTTTAGAAGTGTGCTTGCTGTCCAACTCCAACTGGATGACAAAGTTAGCTAGCTAGCTAACTACTGTAGATAGATAGATAGCTACAGTATTTCTGTACATTCAATAGCTACCTAGCCGTTTCAATCCCAGCTAACGTTAGCTATGACAGGTTCTTACTCAATAGCACTTTTTTGTTTCTTTACAGGTTCATCTTTTAATGTTGAGGATGTCCTTAGACCTTCTATGAAAGAGGGTAATGTTAGGCAAACATACAAATAGTTTGACTTAGCTAGATAAGTTATATTCCATATCAAATGTTTACAAATATTGCCTTGAGAATAATGTCCTGAGAGGCCAAGATTATATATATTTCAGGTGGGCATGAAGATGTGGAACCCAAAGTTGAGCAGCTGATGAATAAACTAAAAAATCTGCAACAAGGTAAGGTTAGCTATTATTAACCCCTTCCACACTACAAATTCCTCATACATGCCTAATGGAAGAGAGAGGTTGATTAGGTTTGAAAATATACATGATAAATGAAGAACTCATGCTAATAACAGAAATTTGATTCAGTATTTTTTGTCAGCATTTATCTTGCGGAAGACAGCATCCTTCAAGCCATAATGGTTTTGTGTCAGTAAAAGTGTGGCTATGCATGCTGTGTGGTGTGGATTTATGTGTTTGTGTGTTCTCTCTCAGGTAAGAGAGCTACAGAGGAGGAGGTGAAAGAGGCCCACTCACTCAGAGACTCTCTGCAGGAAGAACTCGATGCCCGTAAGAAACCCTGAAGAAATCTCATGGCTTTGTTCTCATACTTAGTAATATTAGATACACCCTTGGTTCTTCTTCCTTTCCGACTGGACACAGACATCAATTCAACATCTATTCCACATTGGTTCAACTTAATTTTATTGAAATGATGTGGAAGCAATGTTGATTCAACCAGTGTGTGCCCAGTGGGTAGCTTCCTTTGGGTAATCACTGATCCAATGTGACTAGACTGGGGAAAAAACGATCTCTACTGCTTTCAGACATCCAACCATCACAGATCAGAGATAAGCCTACTTCTCCGAAGACAGGATTTTTGTTTAAATTATTGGAACAGTTTAAACAGTTTAGAAAAGATGAAGTGATGGTTAGTGGTCTTGGTTTTCTAGTAGTCCTGAAGTTTACAAAATTAATGACACCAGTATCACTTGTTTTCCCCCCAGTACAGACGGAAGCTTACCAACTGGAGGGAGTCCACAAAGAGAAAGAGGGTAGAGTGACAACACACAGATCACTCACTTTCACGTTAAGGCCATACACATTTTATTCAATGTTTAACAGATGCCCCTCCTCACATTTCTCAAAAATAAAAATCGGAAAAGTTTCAAGGTTATAGCAAAAATAAAGTCCTCAAGCTTCCAGTAAAGAGATACACACTTTCCTCGTTTGGAAGGCCTTAGCACAGCTTACCAAGAGGCTAATATCTCTAGAAAAGGTTGCTAGGTGTTATATTAAGTTGTTATAGTACAGTTACATTTACATTTACGTTACAAACAAGTTTATTTTTATTGTTTTTTTTCTCGCTCTGTTAAACTGTAAGATACATTTGTATTTATGTCATGAGAAAAGTAGCCATTGGGTAATATAACTAGTAGCCAGTGTGTAATATAACTAACCCATGATTGGGTTAGAATAGAGTAAGCCTTTAGTGTAGACGTTTGTTTTATTTGACTTTCAGGGTTAGTTATATTACACACTGACTTATCTCAATGGTATGCTGATGTTAGAGCTGAGGATTGTGGTCAGTCTCAAAGACCTGATACCATTTATCAGTCATTCTTAATTTTCTAGTTACAGAATATTACAACACATGAATGAACCTACTACCAAAATCAGTAGACCTTATCCACCTTCTATGCCTGAAATCCATAGTGCTCTCAAAGGTAACACGTTTACAGATGCTTTTGTCAATTGAAAACTGATGATGCTGTTTCTATCCCAGAGTTGTGCAGGGTGCTGCAGTTCCAGTGTGAAGAGATGGAACAGGACTCTACCAGGTGAGCCGTTACACCTGCCTGGTATTAGGTGCACCTTCACCTCTCTCCAGTCTCCACCCACCTTGTTGTGGTCAGGCAGCCAGCTTCCGGACCAGTTCCCTTCTTCAGATCAAACACTAGATGGCAGCATATCTTCATGTTTATGCAGCCCTAGAGCAGACGTGATCTCTATTCAGGGTCAGTTTCAGATGAAAACATATACAAACAGAAAGACTTGAAAACAGAACAATGGATTTATTGGCATCATTACCGAACCTGTGACAAGAGGAGTTATTCAGCACCATCTGTTGTTTGGTTCAACTCTACACACCTGTAGGTGGAAACTTTGACTCTAAAAATCCTGACAAAACAAGATGAAGACACACCATATGTCAGAAAGCTGCTGCTGGTAAATAAATCAACTCTGATGTGATCCCACTGTGAGTTATTTGAACGCTCTGACAATTCTGTAGGACCTGATGAAGACGCGTCGGTCTGTGCATCTCAATATATCACAGTGGCAGGAAGCATATCACAGTGGCTGACATTCCTCATTTCCTGTCCAGCACCTGAACAAGTTAAGTGTGTGTATGTGTCCTTGTTCACAGGCAGCAGCAGCTGAACAGGAAGAGTGAGGACCTGATAGAACAGTACAGATGTCAGATCCAGGAGACCAAGCTCAAACACAGGAAACACCGGTAACTGTAGCGATGGAGGGGGAACAGTCAGAATGGGGGCTTGAACCAACAGCAATTAGAGAGATCACGAGGAGGGGGAACAGTCATAATGGGGGCTTGAACCAACAGCCATTAGAGAGATCAGGTGGAGGGCGAACAGTCAGAATGGGGGCTTGAACCAACAGCCATTAGAGAGATCAGGTGGAGGGCGAACAGTCAGAATGGGGGCTTGAACCAACAGCCATTGGAGAGATCAGGTGGAGGGGGAACAGTCAGAATGGGGGCTTGAACCAACAGCCATTAGAGAGATCAGGTGGAGGGCGAACAGTCAGAATGGGGGCTTGAACCAACAGCCATTAGAGAGATCAGGTGGAGGGGGAACAGTCAGAATGGGGGCTTGAACCAACAGCCATTAGAGAGATCAGGTGGAGGGGGAACAGTCATAATGGGGGCTTGAACCAACAGCCATTAGAGAGATCAGGTGGAGGGCGAACAGTCAGAATGGGGGCTTGAACCAACAGCCATTAGAGAGATCAGGTGGAGGGGGAACAGTCAGAATGGGGGCTTGAACCAACAGCCATTAGAGAGATCAGGCTATGTATTGTGTGTTTCTTCTGACAGGATGAAGTTTGAAAACCAGCTCCAGCAGCTGATAGAGCAGCATAAGAACCTGCACTCTGTCTTTGTGAGTTTGTCTGCTTGTACCTGTGAGAAATCTGAAAGACTTCAGAGAGCTTCTTCCATGTTTCTTTCACATATCCAGTCTTTCCAGATCTGTGAATACTAAGTGTTGTGTCTTCCATCCAGAGCCCAGACAGACTGCCTGCTGAAATAGAGAGTGTTGAAAACACCAAGTCTCAGCTGCTGAAGGCTGGTAAGAAACCCTGATGACTGTAGACTTTAGCATGATGATAGACTTTAACATGGGCTTTTAGCACCATCAGGTGTGCAACTGTGATGTATCTGTGTTTGGTGTGTGTGTGTGTGTGTGTGTGTGTGTGTGCGTGTGTGTGTGTGTGTGTGTGTGTGTGTGCGTGCGCGTGCGTGTGCGTGTGCGTGTGTGTGTGTGCGTGTGCGTGTGTGTGTGTGTGTGTGTGTGCATATAGAACAGCTGAAGTTGTCTCAGCTCTGCCATCTAGAGGCGTCGCTAGATGAGGCCAGGAGACAGACTCCGACTGACCCAGCAGACAGACGCACAGACTGAACCCTGGAACTGCACACTGTAATAACGACCGCTGGGTACAATTACAGATAGTTCCTTGGCTCATAGTTAGAGCGGGTTCAGTGTGTAGAAGCAAAGTTGTGAACGTTTTGTGATTGTTCTTCTGCCCTTAATATTGTGTATTGAGTTCATATGTTTGATGTTGTGTATTGTGTTCCTCTGTTTGATGTTGTGTATTGTGTTCCTCTGTTTAATGTTGTGTATTGTGTTCATCTGTTTGATGTGGTGTATTGTGTTCCTCTGTTTGATGTTGTGTATTGTGTTCCTCTGTTTGATGTTGTGTATTGTGTTCCTCTGTTTGATATTGTGTATTGTGTTCCTATGTTTGATATTGTGTATTGTGTTCATCTGTTTGATATTGTGTATTGTGTTCCTATGTTTGATATTGTGTATTGTGTTCATCTGTTTGATATTGTGTATTGTGTTCCTCTGTTTAATGTTGTGTATTGTGTTCCTCTGTTTGATGTTGTGTATTGTGTTCCTATGTTTGATATTGTGTATTGTGTTCCTATGTTTGATATTGTGTATTGTGTTCATCTGTTTGATATTGTGTATTGTGTTCCTCTGTTTGATGTTGTGTATTGTGTTCCTCTGTTTGATATTGTGTATTGTGTTCCTCTGCTTAATGTTGTGTATTGTGTTCCTCTGTTTAATGTTGTGTATTGTGTTCCTATGTGTGATGTTGTGTATTGTGTTCCTATTTTGATATTGTGTATTGTGTACCTCTGTTTGATATTGTGTATTGTGTTCCTCTGTTTAATGTTGTGTATTGTGTTCCTCTGTTTAATGTTGTGTATTGTGTTCCTATGTGTGATGTTGTGTATTGTGTTCCTATTTTGATATTGTGTATTGTGTTCCTCTGTTTGATGTTGTGGTTCTGGATAATTTGTACATCATTCTTTATGGATTATTTATTGATTATTTATTTGCTGCTGAGCAGTTTGCTTTTAAACAGATTAAATACAGTTGTCTAGGCTAGTTGAGGTTTAAGTGTTTGTGGATTGAGAGTCTCACACAGATAAGAGTAAACGAACCTCACCAACATGAATGCAGCACAGACAGTCACACACAAAGACACACACACACACACACACACACACACACACATATTGTAATGGTAACCTAGGTATTTAGGCCTTATTGAAAATAAGTGGATATTCAACCGGCAGCAGAAATGTTTACGTTGAGTTAGGTGTAGTTTCAGTAAGGTCAAGGAAATGCATAACATTTCAAATTGGGTTAGTGTACTGCCGGGATTTTCTGCCGTTCAAATATACACTGCCGCTGGCTGGGATGAGAATGCCCTCATAAAATACATCAAGGGTCTTTCCTGGTTTAAGGTTAAATAAATACCACCGTGTGTATCCTCTGGCTTGTGAGTAACCTTTACATGCATTACAATGTAATAATCTGTAATTATGTTAATTATAGCATCAGCCTTATTCCACTTGACAGACACTGATATGTACTAATGCTGCAGAACTCGCTGAGGTGGGTGGTGTGTGGGGGTGTGTGTGTGTGTGTGTGTGTGTGTGTGTGTGTGTGTGTGTGTGTGGGGGGGGTCTTCTTCTTAAGTTTTCATCCCTCTAGTATTCTGTCACATACTGGTCGAGTCAAACCTACAGTAATTTACTTTTCTTGTTCCTTCATACTGGAGAAGCCACAAACACATACAGCTCCACTGGGACCAGTAATCTGAAGCCAACAGAGGTACTTAGAAACAGATGTCTCATGTGTTAATTATCTAACTAACACATGATTATGTAATCTATCACAGTTCCACACGCAGGGAAAACCACACACAGTGTGCTGAAATGTTGCTGTTTAGCTTTACTCCTCACGCTAAGGTGAGAAATGACCTCGCAGCATTTCGGCTCCACTGTGTGTGTGACCTCAGTGTGTTTGGGCTGCAGTGAGTCACCTGATACGCAGGTTTGACATTACAGTGTGGAAAATGCATTGTGGGAAAGCTTACTTGAAGGGGAACATATACATTTTCGCATGTATCATTTTCTCAACGTATGTAGATGGATGTGAGTGTACTCTATGTGTCTGTGTGTATTGACCGAGGATCTAAACCCACTCTTGACCTCCCTTTCTCAACTCCAGTGTCTCTAGGGTTGAGACTTGAGGTTGAGAGAGAGAGAGAGCAATAGGCTATTGCTGCTGCAGACAGGATTTCTCTCAAACTCCTGATCCACTGATCCACTCCTACCACTCTCTAGCTTTCCATCTAGTCTAGGCCAGGGTTTATCTGTTGCCCAGAGTCAAGCCCAGTCCTGTGGCTCTGCTCTATGGCTAGGAGGGGTGAGTCAGAGAGAGGGGGTGGAGAGGGGGAAGAAAGGAGAGAGATTGGGGAAGGGAAGTTGGGTGTGGCCCTGAAGCATGTGGCACATTCCTAGAAGAGACTGTGCCCTCAATACCACCCCACACACACGTACACCTTTCCAGCTGCTAACTTATAAAAATAAAAATAGACATTCAGGTGAGCAGCATACATACACTAAGTCTAAGACACTCACTCATACACATGTATGGTAGTACACTCACAATGTATGCAAATAAACTTTCATTGAGTGTTTTAATCATACACAACCAAGAGCACTATATTTGCTTAACCAGGTCTAGAGTGGGTGTGTCCGTGTGTGTGTGTGTGTGTGTGCAGGTAACAGGACAAGGTGCACCCAGGTATGTGGGCAAACGTCCAGATCGGGAGACACCCTGGGGAGCAAACGCTGAACACACATTCATGTGCCAGTGTGTGTGTGTGTGTGTTGCAGGATATCAGGTGAGCAGGGTGGGACTGATCTGACAGGACAAAGGACGGCCTACGATGCACACACACTCTCAGAGACACCGTAAGAGAACTCAGTGCCCTTTAGTTTACATATGGGAGACATGAAAGAACATCAAATAATCCACATTTAGCTTCACCAGCGTACAGGGTTCTGAGTTTGCACTTGTGGGACTTTTTGCGTGGGTTCCCTAAACTGGGCAGGGCAAATAGATCAAGTGCAAATCATTTGAAAGTATCTGACTAATGGGTACACCTGTGACTGATGGACATGGGAGAACTTTGCTATGCTAACACTATGCAGCTGAATCGGCATGGAGGACGTTTAAGCGCTGTGACTCAGACTTCCCTGTCAGCAGTTAGAAAGCGAGAGAGGAGGAGAAGGGGAAGTGGGAAATAGAGAGAGAGAGAGGAGGGGATGGGGGACATAGAGAGAGGAGGAGGAGGAGGGGACGGGGAAATAGAGAGAGAGAGGGGTGCACACTCCACTCCACTGAACAACATACCAGGCTACAGCTCACTGTTGAATGGAGAGAGAGAGCCATGAGCCAAACACTATACATCCAGAGGGTTAAATTGAGATGTATGATGTTCCTCCAAATTAAGTTTTATTTTTCAGGAGATGTTTGTCAAACAGGTAAGTCCACACACACACCCTCAAGCTGTACTTTACCTGCCTACCCTACTTATGCCAACATTGTCCTAAATTATCCCAAGGTAATATTTTTGAAAAACGTCACTAGAGCCAACTTCCAATCGTTTTCAACTGTCAGCGTTCCAGCAGTGAGAATGGGAGGAGTTAAGAGAGGAAAGCCTGGCAAAGATAGTTACCCAACTTCTTCATGATTGTATCTCCGCGTTGTGGAAGAGGGCGGGCATAGCCGTAGGATCAGACAGAGGCAGATAGGTCTGGCCTGTAGTGTGGAGCTCCGGGGCGTTTTGGGCGGATAGGGTGGAGTCCCACCGGGAGACAGGAATGTACACCGCGGACAAGGACTGACGAGCCGGCGAACACCAGTGAAAGTACCGCGGGAGGGATATACGGCGATATATAGCGATTCAAGCCAGGGAGACAAAGTAGCCAAGAAAAAGTAGCCTACAAGTTGTTGCCCACTGGAGGGTAAGAGACTGTATTATGATGTCCATAACAACTCGCTCTGAAACAGGTCAATCTATCCTGGTGATCTCCGTATCTTCTGTAAATTAGCCTGTTGCATTAATCTCTAGACCTATGTAACTCAATATAGGCCTTTAAAAAATTTTTATTTCACCTTTATTTAACCAGGTAAGTCAGTTAAGAACAAATTATTATTTACAATGACGGCCTACACCTACTTAAAGCTGTAAAATGTTTACTGTAGTTATGTAGATGACAGTATCCATCTCATCATTGTTTTATTAGGCTACTGTAATAACTCTGTAATAATGTCTGGTTTCATTGAAAGTTGCCAACCAATAGAAACTCTGTAAGAATTGCTTGTCGGTCTTCAATGAAAGTAGTATGAATCCACATAGACACAAAGAAACTACCGAATTACAATAGCCCTCTATTATAGCCTATATGCCTACTGTCATGCATAGACAGGACAATATGTTAAAACACCCCGCCTGTCTGTCCTGTTATCTAATAGGCCTAATGTACAGTTGGACTAAAAGACAATTGACATAATCCGTTTGCTTTTTGTTGTAAATGACCATACAGAAGGTGTGTGTGTGTGTACTGAGTACAGATGGTCTGCTCTTTATCTTACTGAGCCTTTGGTCAATGTCTAGATAGTGTGCATACAGTATTTCAGATAATAGTCCTACTGTAGCCTCCCTGTATGCCAGTGAGTGTACTACTGTCAGTGTGTGTGTGTGTGTGTTTCAAGTTGTATTAGTCACACGTACAGGATAGACATGGTGTACAGTGTACACCATCCAACGAAATGCTTACTTTCAGGTTCCTTCTCGACAATGAGAAATAAGAAAATATAAGAATACGTAAAGTAAATGTCTCAGTAGAACAGAATAAACATTTGAGCATCAGTATATTACAGGAGGCGTAATTTATAGTTCAATATTTACATGTGTTCTGGGGAAGGGGGAATTAGGGGGGGGGGGGGGGGGGGCAAGTGTTTAAATTGTGCAGTATTTAGCAATCATGATACGAGTCTGGTAGCTGCAGTTGTGATGTGTGTGTAGC